CACCAAATTCTGTTTCTGTCACCGCTGTTGGAAAGGAAGGGATGTTTTTCACACAGTATGAGTTCCTGGTCTGAACTTGGTACTTTCTTCTCAATATTGCTAGATGTTAGCTACAGAAGCTGAATATTTTGGGTTATACACAGACACTGTTAATTGTTCCAAAATGATACTTCTGTCATGTTCAAGGGCAGTACAGGACAGCCTGTTGTGTTTGCTCAGCCCAGGAGGGAGCTAAGTGTCAGGGTTTGCAGCTGCCTCACAAACTGCTGGGGTTTTTTTTTTGTTGTTTGTTTGTTTTTTAACTGCTGGGTTTTTTATGCAGCAAATAGAAGGGCTGAGCTTTGATGACTCCAGCGGGGGGGAGGCTGGTGAGTTTGGACAGACCTAATCTGAGGGTGTGGTGTGGGTGTTTAGATGTTGTCATCACCACGGTGGTGTAGACAGGAGGGGAGGTTGCAGCTCGATGGTGAGCAATGCTTCCTGTTGGTATCTTTGTGACAAAAACTCTTACTGCATGGGCAAGGAGGAGTAATTTTCTGAAATGTTGTGATGTGTAAAAAACCTAAAAGGTAAAAAGCACCCACCCCTTTTACTCTTCACATGCCCCTTAAATGCATTTAGTCCAAAGTAAGCAGTAAATAGGGCACTTGACTCTGTGTTCATCAAGGTCTTTAAGACAAACACAGAGAAATTTGTTAGTATCTAATCAATAGTCACTTAAATTAGATGTTCTAATTCCTAATCTCCTTTCCCCATATATCATCACTCCTCTCTTTTCTTTTAAACTAGTTTCTGTTCCCTATTCACTCTTTTCTCTCACTGTGGTATCAGTTGCTGCTAAGGGAACCTATGGTCTCTGGCTGAAACCAAATATTCCCACAGCTCCCATAGAGTAAAAATCAGAAATGTCTTTTTTTTCTTTTAAATTTTTATGAGATAACTGCAGGATTCATAGAAAAACTGCAAAGTAAATTCTGAGTACTGGTCCTTTTGACTCCTTTACTTTCTCAGTAACACCAGGAACGCCAGTCTCTGTACATGGGCCCCTTTGATCCTTCAGCCAAAATCTGTGTTGGCAGAAGAGTTTGGTATACGTTCCCTAAGGTGGATGTCTGTTGCTCTGCCTGTCCAGGACCCCTTCCTCTATTCTTTAACATATAATCATTTTCCTTTAGGGGATTATTTGACCCTTGTGTAGTGAGGCCACAAATCATTACACTGCCTCCATCATTACAGGGGTGGGCCCAGTAGTGGGCAAGAGAACTGGCGTTTTTGAGGGCTGATATGAATGCTGGGCTTTTCTCCACTTGTGGTTAGAGGCAGAAGGGAGTTTGTTGCAGTTGCAGGGGCCATCTTTGCTGCTGCATACAGGTTAAGAATGAGAAGAAAACAGAGCAAAGAGAAAGACAGGGAGACAGATGTTTGTTTTTATGAATGGAAGTTATTCTTGAAGAAATTGCTGGCACTACTGATAGTGCTAATAGATGGTGGGATTGTATAGAGGACCTTGAAGCCGTCTCCATGGCCCATTGTCATTCTATGCTGGTAATGAGTCATATTACAATTTACAAGGGCTTGGGATTAAATTTGTTTTAGAAGAACTTGGCTAAAAAACAGTTCTGGAAGCCCTAATTAAGTGATCATATTGGTTTGAGAGAACAACTTCTCTTTCTACCTAAATGAAACATTTCCTTATAAAGTCACGACTGGAATTCACAAACTGACATTGCTTCCCAGTTTCTTGGCATTGCACTGGAGAAGGATATTTTAGCCAAGGTGAGCCGACAGCACACTGTAGCATCATTGTTAGGAGCATGGTTGTTACTTTGCTACTAAGTAATCTGGCTACTTAGCAGACAGATTAGACTAGTTGTCATAAGTTGAATAAGAACAGAATGTAGAACTTCAACCGGTCTTACCTTTCAGAAGGCCAAATCATACTTGAGAGGTCATGCAGGATTAAAATCCACATAAACATCAGAGAGTTTAGCTAGCTCATTACTTTAATTTATCCATGAATGTTTAGGTTCTAACAGGTATATTATTTTTTTAAAGCTGGTGCTGTTTATGCTACCTTTATAAGCTTTCATTTTAGTCATAATTCTGGCTTAATAGGTTATTTTTCATGGTCTTATATTCTTAACAAATATAAGTTGCTCTTTCCACATCCCCTGCTTCATTTTTAACATAAAGCAACACTAATAGCATTAGTTTGAGACAGAAGTATTGATCTGATTTTGTATGGATTTAATGGGTAGATATTAGAAGGAGGCAGATTTCCAACTGCTACCAGGAAAATGTTCTAGCATTTTCTTATTGAGTATTTCACCTAGCCCATAGTTGGGAGGATTCAAGTAGTAACTGCCCCTATCACTGGATGATCACTTTCAAGGATGTTACAGAAGGGACTTATACATTTATGTGAGTTTTGGGAAAAAAGATTTTGGAGCTGTTGCAGCTCCAAGAGACTAAATACTAGTAGTGGTTATACCAATATGATTAATGCTGCTATTAATAGTAATAATTACTATTTGGTAAGCATCTATTATGTGCTATATATAGTGCTGGGCATTTTACATATCCATCCAGTTCAGTCTCATATCAACCCTCTGTAGATACCCCACCAATGGAGATTGGTGACTTTTTTTCATGTTCATTGTCTGGATCCTTCTAGTAAATTACAAAGTAATGCTTACAAGAGAAGGCAGTGTTACTTACTTGTATTATTCCTTACAGTTGAGGCAAACATGGAAAGCTGGAACAGGTTCAGTTCTAAAGTTGTCTACTCGGTCCTGCTCTACAGGTCACCCAGATACATTTTTTTAGGGGAATCCTGAAACTTTGGTCCTTGAGTCACATTTTTCATGTGGTACCTACATTGGAGTTGTTACTGAAGAGTGAGTTTTATTTTATTGAATTGTCTTACAAGGGAAAGGGGAAAATGTAGAGATTGAGAAGGAACTATGTTTAATGTTCAATTACCTCCAGTTCTCCACCAGGACAATGAGAACTACCTTACTTGCTGGAACATTGCTCATGTCAACCTTTGGGTGGGGGAGGGGAGGAGATGTAATTATGCCTGTGAATAGCAAATCATTTCTTTCAAATTATTGTTTTAACTCATCTGATTCAATTGCTCATATTATTTTTCTGCCTTGCAGATCTCTCAGTGGAATAATTACAGTGTCAAGATGTTTTACCTACTGGACAGTAGTAAGATGTTTATGGCTTGACATAGTGAAACCAGTATTTGTTATACATATGCCATGCAGAGTCACTTTTTTGGTTACTTACAAAAATAAGAAAAGAGTAACATTCTGAACATTAAATGTCATGTGGTCTACATAAGAGGTATTTTATGCCTACACAATCATTATGATCAGTCAGGGTTTCACCAATGGATTTATACAGAATCATGTTTTTTTTTAATTATAGTTATTTGCAAGCAGTCATTGGTGTATTTGCCATTACATGGCTTTTAATAGAACTGCAGCACAGGGAATCTGAAATCAATTACAGACAAGATGTACCAGTTGGGTAATGAAAGTGATTTGGAAGCACAGATATTTTGCGGGGGAAATCACCCTCGTTTAATATGCAGAGACTCAGAGCTGTTCTTCTGGCAGGTGTAAATAAAGCGCTAGGCCTTAAAGAAGAGGTATATTACTTAATGGGGAGTATCAACAGCCTCAACAAGGAGGCTGTTTTTTAATCCATGGTCTAATACATGTAGATTCTATCTGAGACTCAGGCCTATGCTATGGAGGTTGTAGAATAGAATTCATTCTTCCTTCCATACACCCATGATGCAATGTTGTTGTTAAAAGGGACCTTAGTGGTCAGCTGGCCTGACATCCCAATTTGATAGTCAAAGAAGTCAAGAGACTCATTTAGAAGTCTAAAGTTACCTAGTCACCATGTCTTGAATGAAATATTTTTTACTTTGAATCCAGTGCGTTTTCTTCTTCACCTGAGTTACCCCTTCCAAATCTTAGTATTTGTCTCTGATACCTAAAAGACTCAAAAGCCATGGTTACCTCAACAGGAAAGCTAAAATCTGGGTATTTCCTCAGCTCCCCACTATCTTCGTTTCTGTGTAACCTTGAGGAAGTTACTTAACATCACTGAGCCTCAACATTGTCATGTGTGGGATGGAAATAGTGCCCCTCCAACCAGATTGTTATGAAGATTAAATTAGCTAACACTTGCAAAGCATTTAAGCCATTGTTATTAGTCCCACTTCTTCCTCCTTCAACAATGAGCACTTAATTGTATATCCATTTAAATTACTTGAAGGGGATATTGCTTTATTGCAATTCAAGAAGGCACTGGTTAACTTCTTCTTCTTTTTTAAAAGATTTTATTTATTTATCTTTAGAGGGGAAGGGAAGGAGAGAGGGAGAGAAATATCAAGGTATGGTTGCCTCTTGTGTGTCCCCTGCTGGGAACTGGCCTGCAACCCAGGCATGTGCCCTGATTGGGAATTGAACCTCGATACTCTGGTTTGCAGGCCCAAGCTCAATCCACTGAGCTACACCAGCCAGGGCTGGTTAACTTCTTTTTGGTGTCATTATTTTTAGATTTCTACATTCTTATCACAATTGGGAATTTTTAATTTAAAATCAGAGGAAAATAAAAAGTAACCCATCTAAAATTTCACTTGCACATATTTCACACTTAAATCACTTCAAGGGAGGCCCAGGGAACATGAAAGTTTACAAATTTTGGCTCTATGGTCACAGATTTTCTTTGTTGCTTTCAGAATTATGTTTTCATGATCAAGTAGGAATTGCATTTTCCAAATGTTCATAATATTGTATGCATATGTTTGGGTGTTAAAAAGGAACTTTCTTTATAATCTCTTTAAATACCTTTAAAGATAGTGAATGAATTATAGTTTTTTTTTGACTACCATGTCTTGTTAGCTGAGAAATATAAGAGGTATTCAAATCTTGCTGATGCAATGGATTGTTTAAAAAAATTTAATTACACATTTGAAGTCCTGATTATGCCCTAGGGATTTATTTGCTTATGAAAAGTAAACTATGAATTACAATATTGCAGAAAACTTTCACTTCATCAGATTAGTTTTACCATTCATTCCACATATATGATCTGTAAAATTGTGCAATACCTAGAAAACAACATACAAAAAGGTATTTAAATATAGATGAAAAAGATAGATGTTTGTCTTCTCTTTTTGATATTGACATTAAATAAAAGATGGAATGTTTTAGTCGGAAACCAATCCCTCATTCCCCCCACCCTCTAACAGATGAACAAAGGCTTTCTTCAAATCTATTATTTAGTTCAAGTGTGTGTTAGGAAAAAAGATCTGTTCTGTGTATAAAATCTAGCAACAAAAAAGGCAATTGAAAATAGAAAAAATAAAACATGTAGAGGAGACAAATATTCTGTGCACACAGCTTTAAAATCCCAGTAGGGAACACATGTTAGAAAGAGAGAGATTACACACTCATTAAACATAAATTCCAGCATGTTAATTTGCCACAGTAGATTTACCCATTGAAATAAGTCCACTAGTCTTGACCAGCAAGTAGGATCTTAGTTTTACCACCTAACAGTTCAATTAAAATGGAATAAAGATTTTCACACATGTATCTTGGTAACATAGACTTTTGTGGATTATAATGGAGCATCTACTCAACATTAAGTCAGTTCACGGGTAACAAAACTCCTTGAAGGGGCATCTCACACAGCAGCAGGTCTTACATGGAAAAGGGTCTGTTCACTTTCTATTTAAACCACAGGAAAAAATATAGAGTCGGTTAATGAAAACAGCTTATTTTGGAAATCAGTTTTAAAAATTCTAAAGTTATGAATAGAAAGTAATTAAAGAAATATAGCTGGCTTATTCCCCCCTTCTTTACTCCCAGATGGTGGAAAGAAATACAAGGAAAATGTGTTAACATCTTTTAGGGAGGAAATCTGGTCCCTTCACTTGCTGTAGGGCTCAGTTTCAAGTAAGAAAAGAAAAAAATATTTTTGGCTGCAGCTTTAGTAAACAATAAATGATGGAAAATATTGCAGAAATGTTTTCAAGAGATCTGACAACTCAGAACACAGAACTTATCACGTTAACATTGTCTACATTCTTCCACAAACCTTGACAAATGAATAACTGAGCCCTATTTTGGCTGAACGAGAGAAGGAAGTACTATTTCCAGCACAGAAACAAGATTAGGAGAACAACCAACACAACATAGTTACTTCTTCTCCTGAATAATAAAGACATCATATTTGCATATAGAACAGCTTTTACATTATTGCTCTACGTATAAGGAACTCATAACAGACTGCACATTACAAACTTAAGGTTCTTTGGTGAAGAATGAAAGAAAACAGTATTTGAGCTTTAAAAAAAATAATGTCATCCACTTTGCTTTTATCTATTGATCCGCTGGATCCTCTCACAAAGCAGGGAGAGGTACTGTGTGAGTTTCACCATGGCGACGATCACCACACCCCCAGCCATCATACACGTGGGCCAGAAGAGGGAATGGAACAGCACATTGGAACTGTAGAGTTTGGTGAGGATGACACTCTTCTGGTTTCCTTCCGGGTCAGAATAGCAGGAAAAGTGCTGGTACTTCCTGAAGTTTTCCATGACAACATTCACCAGAGACATGGATTCTTCGAAATTTTTCCCACACTTAGGAATATAGGAGCACTGTGGAAAATGAGATAAATTGTCACCAGAAGATACTGTGTGTGTGTGTGTGAGTGATACTAGGAGAGGACGGGGTACCGAGGCCCACCTGGTGACCTGTGAAATAACCATGGTGGTTATTCTTTTTGTATTCAAACCAGTGCCTCTAGAAACCCTAAAAACTCACATTTAATTTAAGCAATGTTTTTAGTATCTGACCAAGATGTACTTTGATAGCTTACCCATATAAGTTTAAGTATCTATTAAAATTGGATGACATCAATGAATTCTTTTTGCCATAGTTAAGCATAGTGGGTTTTAATTTTTTCCCTGTTAAACATGCTTTTCCATGGAATCAGAATGTCAACCTTTCTGTCTTTTGTCTGTCCATAATTGAGTGCCAGAATTGCTGGGGGAGGAGATATAAGGGCACTAAATGGTAGTGGAAAAATACAATAAAGATTATATATTAAAAATTATTTTTCTGTTAAAAAATTATCAAAATACTGATTTCATGAAAAATCACAAAATTTTACTGCTGTTACCAATTGATTAGTTGTTATTATAAGTAGTCACATCTGTGACTTTTACAATGTGACTTCTAGGGCTGTGCAGTGCACAACCCCCAGGACGGCGGCACAGAGGAGGTGGGCTGTTGGTGGGCACTGAGGGGCACTGATGCGAGTTTTGGGGTAAGATCCTGGAACTGTAGAACAATTCAGACTTATGGATTTCACACTAAGAAACTATAAAATAAACAAGTTGTGCTAATGGAGTGTGTTTGGCTCACTCTTCCCCCGACTTTATTAGTGGGGGCGCCAGCTCCTTGCTTTGTTTGATGTGCAGCAATCACTGGATTATTTGACTATAAACAGCAGGAAAATTCTTCGATTAGCTAAGAATGGAGGATGTGCATGTTGGCTTTTATTGTAAACCAGGCTGAAAGTGAGGTTTGCGTAACAAGAGTTCGTTGATACCTTCAGATCTAATTAGCTAAGAATAAATGTGAGCACACCCATAAATGCCAGCACAGCAGAGAGCTGCTACTAGCACAACATTAAAGGTCACAACATTAGGGGATCACCAAGAGCACGATTTCTCAGTGAGTTATCACTTAATACAAAAAAATGCCTATGATTGCCAGGAAACAAATTTTCTACTAGCCGGATGCATTCTGGGTCAAAAGGATGTAAGCAGTGAGGGGGTATTTTTTATTTTTCCTTTTTCAATGCTACCTGTTGGGAACCGCTCTGCCTGGTTTCAGGAATTGTAACTACCCCCCATGGCTAAGGATGAGCGATTGACCTCCAGAATGTGAGCTGCAGGAGACAAAGCTTATCTCTGGTAGCAAATGCTGCCTCACTTTCCTCCCCTTGCCCCCAAAGCATGGTCGGTAGTCAGAGATGGGTAAGACTCCTCACATCAAGGGGCAATTTAAGCCAAACACAATCACTTGGGAGGCCACCATGGAAGGCCTGGGGGGGGGGCTGTGACAAAGAGAGAGCAATGGACCCTTGCCATCCCCCCCCCATGTGACATAGCCCAAGACCTCAGGTCCTCTGGGAGAAGTGCTTCCTGGCTCTAATCCACTTAAGCCTGAAAGCCTGATGGTGAGGGGGTGTAGCTCCTTGCCTTGCTAGAGCAGTATCCGGGGAGAAATCTGGCATAAGAAAGAGTTCCTAAAAATCCTGTGAAATCTGCTAAGAGTGCTTTCATTCATATGTTAAGGATCCGAGCAGGAAATGAGTATGTCTCCCAAAGGTTCTGCAAACCCCGGTTCCTCACAGACACTGATTCAGACTAAGCCCTCAGATCTCTTTGAAATGTTATCTACTGTTTGATCCTTGCCTCCCTGTATTCCTGTGTATTACAACCCAGTAAAAGCCCCTGGAGGAAGGGGCTCGAGGCCTTTTCCTCTGAGAAACTGTCCACTTCTCCTCCCCAAGCAGATCATGTCTTGGTAGTGTTTACTGTCATCCATGGTGGATGGGGGGACTTGAGGGCAAAGTCACCCCCACAGCTACACAGATTATGCCTTTAACTTTAAAAAAGAATTTGAAGCAAAGTAATAAAAAGAAAAGTCACAGATAAGCCATTTATGGTTGAATTCAAACCGAGTCCATTTAGATTATGAATGCATCAGGCTTCTATGTATTTTTATGCCAAGACAGTTTATAGTATTAGATTTTATGACTAAGACTACTAAACTGTGGAGATAATCTCAATAAAATTGCACTCCATTAAAAGTGGAGGTTTTCACTTTTTTATGCTCTTGTGCATTGATATGGCTTTTAAAATTTTTTCAAGAAATGTTTGTCAGCCAAATGACAATAATTCTTACACTAGGTAAGATTCTTCCAAATAAAATGAGATACAAATTACCTCTGAGACCAACTAGCAAGGCATGCCCCGTACATGGCTGGACTTGGGTCCTGAGGGCCAGCAGCGTATATCAGCGCAGCTCCATGCTGCCAATGGGAAAAGATTCCTTTGCCCATGTTTTTAGGTTTCTCTAACCTGGCCATCTGCCACCTTTTAACACTTGTAAACCGGCTCCCACTAAGTCTGCTACGGACCCCTGAAAACTGTTCCCTTTGTCAGTCATTCCTTTGCTTTTCTTATTGAAGAGCCCTCTGTCATGATAATGAACATGTGATGTAGTCCACCGAGCCCCTCCCTGACTTGTGTAAAGGGGATCTGGGGACTGTTTTTATAAGCAAGTTACTTTGCTCCTCAGAATTAACTTCTTTCTCTGCACAACAGGGCTAATAGAGCCTTCCTTCCTGGCAGGGTTTGTGAGGGGATTAAATGATGAATATTAAAAGCCTCAATACATTTTCCTTAGAATATTTCCATATTGGAATACCAAATGATCTTTAACCAAGTGCACATCCTAACCTTTGAAAATTCTCGGAAGGGCAAAGCTACTTGTTACATGGCTCTTACAGGAATAGTCTTGTTTGATGGCTATTGCCTCATATTCCTGACTTTGGCATCTGAGGTTTGACCTTATGCTGAGACATGTATTTGAATTCTAGGTTTCTGTTTCTGTGGCTCAAACGATAGCTACGTGTATGTTTCAGAGGCTGGTATGAATTTGTGGTGAAGATTTAGTAAGTTTATGATTTCATCATCTGTTTGAAGGATAATTTGATGTGATTGGTTTAGAATACATAGCATGTGTTTTAACAAATGGAAGCTTTACAAAGTAATCTACACTTACATGGAAAAATGTAATGTAGACTGAAAAAATAAAAATCCTGGCATTTTTAGATTATTTTATATTTTTAGTGGTAGCTGTGGCATAGGACAGATTTAACTTTAGAATCTTCATGATACATAATGCAAACCAACACATGAATAATAATTTTATATATGTAAAGTAATTATATATATTATATGTGTTATCTATGTATATTATATATGTATATATGTATTACATATGTAAAATAATTTTATATATCAAAATTTATTAATATATATGTTATTTTTACCTTGGCTATAGGTCTTTTGTGCCCTAAAATATGCATATATAAACCTAGCAAACCTCTGAGGCAGCCATTGGGCAGAAGACTTAGACTTACATCTCTTTTTAATCCTGAATTTTGTTAACAAACCATTCTGCTTTCCCAAGTCCCTTAAATTCTCTGTAGTATTGAAAACCACAGAGATGGCTCCTCAACATGACCTTTCCTCTCCCAGCTGAGGAAACCCAAGCCCTGTCACCTTCTCCTGATTGTCCTTTTTCCCTTACATGGCAACAAAGACTCAGCAAGTGCATCTTCTCTCCCATTCTTTGGAAAGTCACTGAAAAAAATTATTTTTCCTCAGGCTCACTTCTAGAACCTTTTATGTCAATAACTCTATGTCAATAGAGTTATTTTTATTCTCATGATAGACAGAAGTTTTGAGAAACTACCTTTTAGACTTTGCTTAGACATGCTTTGTAGACCTGTGTGAAGCCCAAAGTGGCAGGTCTTCACCTGAAAGTAAAAAATGTGGGGAGGAGTTGGGGGCGGAGTGGAGAGGGTATTCAAATTACAGCACCTCACTGGTCAGCCCCCTTTTCCTTGGGAGTGCAGGAAGGGAGCCATCAGGTCTCAGGATCACCTTTGGAAAGGGTTTTGTTCTTTTATAAAAGGTGGAGTGTCTTCTTTCAGGGAGGGGTTAGACATTTAATAAAATGCAATCACTAGTTATTGTCTCTGATGTGCTAGGTTGCATGTCAGGCATGGGCATCAAAAACATAAACAGCGTAGGACAGAGCAACTGGAGAGAAACAGGCAAAGAACGCAGAGCAGGAGTGAGGTGATGACATGGCACCAGGAACGAGGCTGAAAAGGCTGTCAGTAAAGATACACATTCACAGAGGGGGCACGGGTTTGCCCTCAGAACTCTCTAGTAGCTGGACATTCTACTCCACAATGTATATGAGATAAAAACAAAACAAAAATCAAAACATTGTTCACGTGAAACATAAATATTCTTGGTTCCAAAGTCAGATGGAACTTTTCCTAGTGTCCTCAAAGGTGTTTATTAAGTGTGTACAGTATATCGGGCTTTGTATTCTGGGCCAGAGAAGAAAACGTCAGCCCTGTATTCAAAGAGCAGACAGGTCACCAGCTGGCAGCCTTGGGTTACTCTGGCCCCCAAGTGTATTCTGTGCTTTGAGTTCTCCAAGTATTAGTGATGGTTGGAGGAGCTGAGAGGGTAAATGGAGATTCTATGTTCTTTTTCTTTTGAGAGTTCCTGATCTCTAAGGAAGTGAATCCCAGAAAAGTTAGTTCACACTTGTTCAGTTTGCACTTTCTGTGTCTGCTTGATTCGGGCAAGCAGGGCTGTTTGACATGTCTGGTAGATCAAAGGAGGATAGTGTTCTGGCTCTGCTATGTACTTAGGTTTCTTTCAGTATTGATACAGGTCCCTCCTGAGAGAGGTTTTTCTTTTTCGTGTTTTCCAGATCTCTTACATTTATTGCGGCTTTTCTGTTTGATTTGGAGCAGACACTTAACAGACCTTAG